TCTTACAGATACTGCTTCTGGGGCATCTGGGTGGCTCAGTGGGTTAAACGTCTGATTCTTGACTTCGTCTCAGGTTGTTATCTCACCGTTTGTGGGTTCGATCCTCGCATCAGGCTCTGTGCTGACAGTGCAGCACCTGCTTGGGATTTCTCTCTCTCCCCCTCTCTCTCTGCCCCTCCCCTGCTCGCCCTCTGTCTCTGTCTCAAAATAAATAAACTTTAAAAACCAATAATGCGTCTAGGAGCATTCGTGTACCTGCATTTAGCACACTGGTGCACACTGGAAGGAAATCTGCAGGCCACAGGCTCAGCTTTAGTTTTCTGAAATAGTTGTGCCAGCTTACATGCTCTCAGCGTCATGAGAGCTCCAGTTGTCCCACATCCTCGTCTGCACTTGCTATTGCCTTGTTTTCATTTTGGCCATTCTGGCTGGCAGACAGCAGAGTCACATTATAATGTCAGTTTGCACTTCTCTGGAGATTCATAAAGTTGAGCACTTCTTCACATACTTATTGGCCACTTGCATAGGTGCTTTTGTGAACAATGACTCCTTTCCAATTGTCATTTTGGTTGGAAAACATTTCTGAAAATGGCTCCTGTGCTGAAAGATTCTGTGTTTCTCTTCCCACCTGGTTGATCATTTCCAAGCCTCGGCATTTGGCAGTTCTCCGAAGGGTTCCAAAGCCAAGGGGAGTCAGAGAGAGGAGTTGGAGGGTGGGCCCAGCCAACACTGGACATCCCTGAAGTGCTGGAAGTTCCACGGCTGCAGCAAGGCCTTGCTCTGTGCACCCTGGCATTGCTGTGCAGCCTTCAGTTTACAGGTCGCTCAGAAATTAGCAGAGATGATTTTTATTTCCTATTCAGAGCTAAAGACGTGCCCTGAACTCCAGCCCCAGCCCCCTTTCTCACTTGCTTTGGAGTTGGGCTCTGGACTGATTTCAAACACCGCAGAGGAATGAGGATAAACAGAGTTCTTTCCTCCTCCTCAGCCCCTAACTAGGCAGGGAACACACAGGGCATTGGGTTTGCTTGACAAGGCTTAGCATTTTGGGGATTGAGGACCTGATGTGTGCCTAGAGCTTTAAAATATTTAAGGAAGCTTTCAAGCTCTGGCATGATTATCAGACATTAACAGCTCAGAATTTTCCTGATGCAAAGTGCCAGCCCCTCTCCCCTCAGAGCCAAAACCTACCTTGTTAACAGCCCTCCCCAAGCTTATCCTCACCAAGGGCAACCAAACAAATGCACGGGTGGGGAGGAGATAGCTAGAAATGGCACGTGTTAAACACCTACTCTGTGTTATCATGCTAAGTGCGTTACACTTTCCAGCTCACTGAATCCCCACCACAATTAAATCCCCACCTGAATTGAAACCTGCCCTGTTGGGGGGGGGGAGGGATTTATAGGAGCATGGGGGAGCTAAGGCAGACATGCTTCTGGGTAAGAGCAATTTATTCCAATAGCTTAAAACATCTATAGAGGACATGCCCCGAGGCAGGACATCAATTTGTTCATTGAACAGACAATTTCCGGGCCATCCCCCTGTGTGCAGACTGAGGGCTGTAGGTCCTAGGACAGGTGAGTCGGCTCATGTCCTTTAAGAAGTTCACAGGCTGCTTGTGACGAGGAATGGAATTGAAAACCCTTGCCACGTTTGTCTAAGTGGAGGAAGAGTGCACTTCTGGTCAGGACACCTGGTGCACGGGGCCCACCTGGGCTCTGCCACGAGTGGGGACTGGCTCCTGGCTGGGGCCCTTACCGGCCATATGTCCTTGGGCAAGTGACTTACCCTCTTTGTGTTTCAGTTTCCTCCTCCTTAAAATAGGGATAGGGGTGCCTGGGTGGCTCAGTCGGTTAAGCATCTGACTTTTGGCTTCAGCTCAGGTCACGATCACATGGTTTTGTGAGTTTGAGCTCGGCATTGGGCTCCGCGTTGACACTGCAGAGCCTGTTTGGGATCCTCTGTCCCTCCTCTCTCTCTCGGTCCCTCCCCCACTCATGCTATCTCCGTCTTTCTCAAAATAAATAAGCTAAAAAAAAAAAACTTAAAAAATAAATCAATAAAATGAGGGTAATAATAATAGTTATAATAACTTCTACCCCAAAAGGTTGTTGTGATATGAGTTTGATAATACATTCACGTGAGCAGTTCCCCACAGCACCTGACCACATAAGTCTTCGGTAAAGAGTGACTACAGTTAACCTGAAACTAATGTGACATTGAGCGTCAGCTATACTCAAATAAAAAAATATATAAATAAACAACTTAAAGTAACTATAAGTAGATAGGAGGATTGGGATTTGGGAGGGGGTGTTCACAGAGGCATGATTTGGGGAGCAGCGCAAAGCTTGGATCAGAACCAGATGGGAGGACAGGGAGAAGGAGAGCTGGGTATTAGGGTGTAGCTATGGGAACGCCTCAAGAGAGGTGTCGGGTATGGGTCTAGGCATGGTGACTGTGTGACCATGTGACTGACGGTGACTGATCTGCTTTCTGGGCCTGAAAAACAGAAGGCCAGGCCTCCCTGGCCAACATGAGTGTTCGTATGAGGGTCAAAAGAGGATACGGAGGCAAGAATGTTTAAAGCCACCAATACTCCCCGTGGATATGCCACACAGCACAGCCTCGTCTCGAGTGAAGGAGAGCTGGGGACACTCTGGTGTGTGGCTTCCAGTGCACCGGCCACGTCCTACTTTAACTCGAATGGCTCTCCATATTAACTCCGCAGCTCTCGTAAATGAAAATTCCTCCAAAACACACTCTTGACCTCTTTCCCATCCCTTATATTATTCCTATCACAACTCTTGGGTCAGTATTCACTACTTACAGTTTTATGGCATCTTAGCACATTATAGATGCTTTTAAACTGTCACTTGTTCTGTTACCAAAAAAGCGTTCAGAAGCAGCTCCAGGGGGCACCTGGGTGGCTCTGTTGGTTAAGTGTCCGACTCTTGATTTCGGCTGGGGTCATGAGTTTGAGCCTCACACCAGGCTCTGTGCTGACAGTGCAGAGCCTGCTTGGGATTCTCTCTGTCTTCCTTTCTATCTCTCTCTCCCCTCCCCTACTCTCTCTTTCTCTCAAACAAAAACAAAAACCTTAAAAAAAAAAAAAAAAGATGCAGCATTAGGCCTCTAACGTGTTACCATCAGCTTGGGGAAACTAGCCCTATACAAGCCATATGAGACAACATGTTACCACCATCCTCTCATTCCTGACCCAGCTGACCAGCACCATTCCTCTCCCTCCAGACCTTCCAGGCTGTCCTGTTTTATGCCTCTGTGCCTTTGCCTGTTCTCTCGGCCTAGAGTACTCCCCTCCCTAACATGACATAAAACTCCTATTCATCCTTCAAAACCTTTTCAGTAATCCTCTCTTTGAAGCTTTCAAACAATTCTTCCATAGGAACCGCCCAGTTTCTGCCCCTTGTGCACTTAGGAATCATTGCATCTATTACACTCTGTTACAAGTATTCACCTGCTTAAACTCCAGCCCTGAGCCCTTCTCCACTTCCAGGGCTGCCTCTGGCCTTGGTTTAGTTATCTCTGTATACCTAGGTCCAATCAGAGGGCCTGGAAGAGAATAAGAGCTTAATAAATATGTGTGCAATAAAACTAATTAAACTTGGTCCCACATCCAGATGTTCTATGGGTTATGAATTTTAATTCATGAATTTTCCCAGAACTGGATATTAGAAGAAAATACATCCCTCTGCTGATTATCGAAAGGTGCTACAGGAGAAGTTTGAGGGTTCAACGGAATTTCAAACAGCCACCCCAAGCCTAACCTGTTTCTAAGAGGAAGCCCACTGCAGATCTCCTCCTAGGTCAGAGGCTTTCATTTTTATTGGGACCTGCAGAGAGAAGTATTTTTTCCATTGAGACACACGGAACATGCATATCAGAGAAACAGCTTTCGTGGAATACTTACTCTTGCTATGGTCATTGCTCTCCATTTTCTCTTTCTTGTCTTTCTTCTTTGTTTTTTTTTTTTAATTATTTTTTTAAATTGCTGGTCACCATCCAATGAATTGATTTCAGAATTCTATTATTTATTTATTTATTTATTTATTTATTTATTTATTTATATTCTTGAGTGGGAGAGAGAGACAGAGTGTGAGAGGGGTAGGGGCAGAGAGAGAAGAAGACAGAATCCAAAACAGACTCCAGGCTCTGAGCTGTCAGCACAGAGTCC